CTGGGCTGCCCCGTTCCTTTGCCACAGCCCTGCGGGAGCCAGCCCGCCCTGCCCGCAAGCCCGAGCCTGCGGCGTGAATCACAGTGCGGAGCGTTACCCTCGTGAGGTGCTTCACGGGCACCCAGCCCCCTCCCAACAGCCCCGGGAGGTACCTAAGGAGGGGCTGTTACCCTCATGCCTCAGCGGGGGAAACTGAGGCTGGGATTGTTTTGCCTGAGGTCACAGGGAAGCCGGTGTCAGAGCCAGGCTCAGGCTCCATTCCTGCCTCTCCGGGCTGGGCATGTGGCACAGGGATGTGCTGCCCGCTCCCAGGGCGGCCGAGGGTGGTGCCTGGGAGCAGGGTGCCCCCAGGAGCGGGGTGCCGATTACGCACCCCCCCTCATCCGCCTCCCACCCAGAGCCCGCAGCCCCCAGCCTTGCCCGGAAAGTTCATAATCCGGCATTCCCTGGGTGGTCGGGTTAAAGACGGTCACGTGTGGTTCTGCTGTTAGAGAAGGGTCTGCCGTGTTTGCCACACACCAGTCCGCAAGGGGAATCCGAAATATTGAATGGCTGCTCGCAAAGGAGGCATCCTCCAGCGTGTGCACTGCAGGGGGCGGGGCGCCTGTGGGGAAAAAACCCACCGTGCGCTCGTGTCATGAAAGCCCGTACCATAATGCGCCCACACGAGGGGTGGCTCAGCCAACACCCATCCCAGCGTTCCCGAACGTTTGAGTCCGTGACTTTGCAACCGGACTAGTCTGCGTTGCATGCAGATGTGTAAGAGTCTAATCAAGAACCCTTCTAACGAGGTCGTTTGAAGCACGCCCAACCCCCGCGTCTATTCTGGGCAAGTTTTTTCCAAAGTGCAACTTTGCCTCCTGATTTGGACCGGAAGCCGAGTTAGCAAGTTCTGAATTTCCCTGGACGGAGATTGTGGTTTCTGGGCAGCTCTGACATTTCCATGGTGGGCTCTTTAAGGTAGGGACCATCCCTGTGGTGTGTTTGTGCAGGTGTGTGCGCACAGGGATAGGCCCAGAGCCAGGACGGAGACCACTAGGGGTCGCTGTAATACAAATAAGGCAGCTTCTTTCCGGGCTGTGAATTTCTGTTTTAGTTACAAAAATCTCCTTGGGGACTGGTTGTACGAGGGGTCGAGGCAGCCGTGTTGGTCCCAGAGTTTTAGTGACACAAGAGAGGGGGGGTAAGGCCGTGTATTTTATTGGACCCAAGTTCTGCTGGCGAGACAGACAAAAAATGCCAGTAAAAGACATTCCCTCCCCCTTCTTGTCTCGCAGAAATGAGCAGGCTGTTTGAGTGCAGGCAGTATTGGTTGTCTGCGCTGGCAGCCACGGCTACGCATAGAATAGCACTTTTAGCCAATCCCGGATGCACTGAGATACACCAGTTTTCTCAGAGAGGTGGCTGTGTTAGTCTGTATCTTCAAAAACAACCTGTGGCACCTTAGAGACCAAGGCTGCGTCTACACTGGCAAGATTTTGAGCAAATACTTTTAATGGAAGAGTTTTTCCATTAAAAGTATTTGCACAAGAGAGCGTCTCTACTGGCATGTGCTTTTGCGCAAGAGCATCCATGCCAGTGTAGACGCTCTCTTGTGCAAGAAAGCGCCAATGGCCATTTTAGCCATCGGGCTTTCTTGCGCAAGAAATTAACGTTGCCTGTCTACACTGGCCTCTTGCGCAAGAGGGCTTATCCCTGAGCGGGAGCGTCAGAGTATTTGCACAAGAAACCCTGACTTTGTACATTACAACATCACTGTTCTTGCGCAAATAATCGCGGCCAGTGTAGACAGGCGGCAAGATTTTCGCAAAAGCAACTGCTTTTGCACAAAATCTTGCCAATGTAGACACAGCCCAACAGATTTATTAGGGCATCAGCTTTCCTGGGTAAAACCCACTTCATCAGATGAATTGGAGTGAAAGTTACAGAGGGAGGGGGATATATAAGGACAACAAAAGAAAGAAGTGACTTGTGTTAACAAAGCTAATCAGTCAGGGTGGAAGTGGCTCATTCACAGCGACTGAAGTGGAAATGTGAATATCAAGAGAGGGGAAATTTGCCTTTGTAGTGCGTTAACCAGTTAATAAGAATCTTAATTGGTTGATGCACTACAAAGGCAGTTTCTTTTCTCTTGATATTCACATCCCCACATTAACTGCTGTGAATGAGCCACTTCTACCCTGACTCGATTAGTTTCGTTAACACACATAACTTCTTTCTTTTGTTGTGCTTATCTATCCCCCTGCCTCTGTAACTTCCGCTCCATGCACCCGATGAAGTGGCTTTTGACCTATGAATGCTGATGCTCTAATAAATCTGTGAGTCTCTAAGGTGCCAGAAGGCTACCTATTTCCTGGTAAGGCTAGTCAGATGTATCTGTGCACTGCTCGCACCGCGGAGAGAATAGCGCTGTTCTCTTTGGCTGCAGGTCAGCGTTTGCTCCCCCACTTCCAAGATTTCTAGATCTTCACACTGGTCAAATGGCTCAAAACTGCCCCAGGTGCTGCTATAATGTTAATGAGGTTTGGGGTAATTACAAGCTGGGCTTTAATCATTAACAGGGTCTGCAAGGTGGGAACTGAACCAAACCATAAATCCCATTTCATTGAAGATTGAGGTGGTGGGAGGGTAGTTTTGATCCCCCCGCCGCGGGACCTGACAGCCTTGGACACGCATGCTATGTCGGCACCTGCTGGCTTCTTCGGCAACTCCCAGTATCGGCCTGGCGGCTGGCTCCGTTCCTGTTGATGTCCGGGGGCATTTTACCCCTGGCTTCGAGAGAAGTTGTTAGGTCACCACGGAACCCGCTCTACCGCTAGGTCCAACTGGGCCTGCTGGCTCACTTTTATTCATTTTTTAACTGAATAGATTTTCTGGCCAGAAAAAGCATTTTTCAGTGATCCAAAACCATTTGTGCGCTGGGGTCAAAGTCAGCAGATGGGTTTTGGCCAAAGAGAGAAAAATGAACTTAAAAAAAAAGAAGTCGATAGCTTTCCCGTTAACCATTTGGAAACACCTTGTTTGGCCTTTTCATTGTGATCGGGGGTTTTGAATTCAAATGTGGTCAATTAAAACAGCCAGAAAAAGGGTGAGCAACACCTGAAAACAACCAATTTGCAATGAAAACCTCAACTGATTCAACTCAGGTGATTCAAAGCACATGTTTTGATTTGACAGAAAAGTTTTTAAAAAATTGTTTTTTAATGGAACCCGATTTTTTTTTAAAATGTCTGGTTGGGTTCCCAAATGGAAAAATCCATTTATCTGCTGAGCTGTAGTGATCTTCATGCAACCGACAAGGGTCATGGGCAACCTGAGTGATGTGGCTCTGTGATTCCTTTGCCACAGACTTGCGCCCCCTGGATATTCTCTCGGAGGTGGTTCCGGCTAATGGTGTCAGTAGTGGGATCCGAATGCTCCAAGTGCAGGGGGCCCGTGGGTTTCAGTTTTCTGCATCAGCACACCAGGCCCTGAGCTTCCCAGCTTCCCAGATTTTCCTCTACTGTGACCTTTTCCCAGAGGAGTTCTCCATCATCATCACCCTGAACGTCTTCAGCACCCCATCAAAGGTAAACACGCCCCACGCCCTGGAGAAAGGCCTGCGCCAGAGCCCTGGGTGTGGATACCCCCCTCCATTTGGAGAAATGGTTGGGACCCGGATTGCACTCAAGTGTGTCAGCTACAAGCTCCTCCGTCCTGCGTGTGAGCTGTCAGCTCCGCAGTGCAATCAGTGACCAAACAGGTTTGCACGTGTGGTCTTCCCAGGCAGCCTCATGCTGACGTCGGTACTAGCCCTTTCCCCGCTCTTTCAGAAAATGGAGTACATCTTTACCGTGGTGAGGGAGGAGAGCCACACGGAGCTGGTTGGGCTCAGCTACTCGCGGAACAAACTCCACTTCCTCTTCTGGAGCAGAGAGCTCTCCGGCGGCCGGGAGACCCGGGTCACCTTCCGCGGCGTCTCCTTCTCCGACGGCCAGTGGCACACGCTCGTCTTGGCCGTGTCCGGGCGATTCTTCTCTCTGACCGTGGACTGCAGTGCCCCCGTTGACGGGTATGTACCGGGCGTGCGATTCTGGGGGGCTGCCTGGCTGGTGGCTGGCGGGGGGAGGTGCAAGCTCCTGAGATATGGGCGCTCTGCAGGCTTTGCTGTTGCTCTGCCTGCTCCTGCCAGCCCGGCCCGGCAC